AAGTTTCCCTCAAGTAGCCTTGGCACTTTCAGTTACCCTTGAGATTGTCCCTCACCACTCATCTAGCGTTGTACTCTCTGCCAAGGTTACAGATGGTAAGAAACAACACTAGAAAGCATTGCAGAGCAGTTCAGAACACAGGCTTTAGGATCAGGGTGAACAGCTGAGTTCAGGTTCTGACTTTCCTACTGACAAGTTCCGTAATCCTAGATGGGTTATTTCATTTCTCCAAACCTGACTTTATGATCCATGGAAATGCTACTGTACCATACTAAATCCACAATAAACCATGAGTAACTATAGCTATTATTGTTGTCTTACTAATAAACCTTAGACATTATTCTCAAGAAGTTTATAGGCTATTAAAAGCTGGTGAGAGGCTTAGAGATAATTTAACATAACACCCTCCCTTTGCAGATCACATGGATCAGGTGGGTGAAGTCACATAGCCGAGCTAAGACTGAGACACAGGATTCTTCTCCAGTCAGTCATGAAGTTCTCAGATCTCATAGGAGAGGACAAATAATAGATAATAGCTTACTTTGATCAATGCTGGAGAGAGAGGGCCAGTGACAACCCAGAGAGATTGGCTCTGTGTGAGCTGGGGCCCTGAGGAGGCCTGTGATGGTTCCCAAAGGGGGCATGTTCAGGAGAACGAGGAAGAACAGGCAGGTGCTGCCAGTGGCTGGTGTCACTTGGTCTCATTAGGGAAAATCACCAAGCAGATCACTGATAGGATTGGATTTCCCAGCAGCTCTAGCTTTCCCCACCACCTGTCATGTAAAATTCTTTCATCTGAAGGGAGCAGCCCTAGTGTGGACTGTGCTGATGTTACCTTGGTTGCAGCTTCCCCACCCATCAACAGTGGGATATAATAAGCAGCCTAGAGCGCCTAGAACCAAGCTGGCAAACCAAGATCCACAGGTCCAGCCCACCACCTGATTTTTGAAATAAAGTCTCATTAGATCAGAGCCACATTCATTCATATATGTAGGGCCTGTGCTTACCTTACGGTATAATGGCAGAGCTGAGTAGCTGGAATAGACCCAAGTCCTCAGAGGCTACCGAGTAGCTTGTCTTTACACAAAGAGGTTTGCCAACCTCTGGGATAGAAATTTATCAGTTGTTTATGAGATGAAGGCCCTCTCTGGGTTAAGGAAGAATGAAGTGATTCCTTCAAGATGTTTTTGTGATCTGGCTGAGATCTAATTAATACAGTAGGAGAAAGGGATATACTTTAAATCCCCTTACAGCTCAAAGAACATGTCTTCTCCAGGATGGATGCAAAAGATAACTGTGCAACTCTTCTAAGGGTGTATCTAGTTCTGCCCTGCCTCATATTCTGGTATGCAGAGGAGATAGAGCCACTTGAAGAGAAGGGACATTGCATGCATTGCTTAGACATCTAGAAGAGTCGCCTCTTAAGGAATGTGTATACTATCAGCCAGACACTTTCCACACATTATTTTATGTACTCATTTTAGCTATCCTCTTAAGTAATACACTGTTCCCATTTTACAGAAAGGTAAACTAAGGTGAACTAAAGTTACAAGTTTTGCAACTGTTTGATACCATGTTTTCTAATACACACAGCTGCAGTACCTCAACTCTTAAAATGTCTGCCTGTAGAAATTATGGTTGCAAGTAGCTTAAGTACATCCACGTAGACAGAATAGAGTTATAAGTCACTGCTTCTAAAAGTTTACACTGCAAAATGCTACCTCTAAGCTACTCATTGTTTAGAAAATATTGCATCTGTTGCTGACTTTACAAAAATTACATGATGCCATTAGCAAGTTATGAACGCTGAGAAATTTTCCCAAATACTTAATCATGGAAACCTTTCATCTAATCAACGACATTCCATAAAACTGGTACTCCAAAGGCCATATTGTGAGAACCATTGAACTAGATGACAATGGTGGTTACGATGATGATGACTGGTGATAACAGCCAGTCATTAAGCAATTGCCATGATCCACACACTGGCCTAAGCATTTACATCTATGAAATTCATTTTACCCTCACAGAAATTAGGTACTGTTATTAATTCCCTTCTTGACAGATGAGAAAACTAAGGCATAAAGAGAACAACTTGCCTGAACTCAGGTAGCTAATACATACTGGGGACTACAAGCTTCTCAAATACTGGACTCTCATATCAACTCATCTTTGTGTACCTATATACTTAGGGCAGTGCCTGGTACATAGTATGCAGCCAGGAAATGATAGTTGAACTGAATTTAAAATAAGATTCTAATAAAGTGAAGTAACTAGAGTGTTTTGAACAAAACACTTAAGAACGGGGCTGGGGATTTAGCTCAGCGGCAAAAGCGCCTGCTTGGCAAGCGCAAGGTCGTGAGTTTGGTTCCCAGTACCGGAGAAAAACCAAAAAAAAAAAAAAAAAAACAAAACACTTAAGAACTTCAGATAGTGTTCACACAATTAGGTACTCCCTCATCAGAGTTTTCTATTTGTTCCAGAGAGGACCATTAGCGAGATACTGTTTCTCCTGTAAACAATTTTGTATAGTGTAACACTTTTCATATTTTATCTAATGTGCCCTACTTAAGGTTAATGCAAAGATGATAGGAAAATATCAGATAGTGTTGATCTTATTTAACCACAAGAAATAATATTTCATTTGAAGGTACAGTAAATTGGGCTCTTTGTGTGGCATAAAATACCTCGGAAGAGGCAAAACCACATCCATAAGGAACCACTGTATCGCCCTTGTTAGGAAAGCGGACGGATATTTTTACAATGCAGCATAATAACAGCTATTGAGAATAATCAATAGCAACTTTTTAAATATTACGGATGTGAAAATATATGAAGGTCAAAATGAGTAAGTAAAATCCTGGTGAATTTTCAGTGTAGATTTGAGTGAGGCTGAAGTGCACTAAGGAAGAAAAATCAATGTGCTTTCAGTTTTAAAGAGGAAGAGGAGCAAAAGAAGTCCCTGTTTTTGTGTGCTGCAAGATGAAAAAGGAAATTTCATGTTTAGCACTTCAGGAGATTGAAGTGTAAAGATAATACGATAGTATTTCTCATAATTCTGCATAAATCTTTCCTGAATGATCGTAACTAACAATTTTCGATCTTCAGTGAGTGCTTTCCATGCTGCTTTCAGCATCTTGTACATGTAGCCCTAGATGATGAGTACTACTATGGTCTGCATTTCACATATGTGGAAAAGGAAGCATAGAGAGGGAGAGTAATTTTCCCATGATCCTCACCGACACAAGATGGCAATATGATTCCAGAATCCATGCTACTGTTTATTCACTGGGTAAAAGAGAAGATTCAAAGGCTCAAAGATGTTCGCACGTCTGGCAGGCAAAATAATTACCACTGTCACTGTCAGGATATATCAGAGACTCATGGGGTAGGCATCAGAGGACTAATTGTCACAATGTGGAATGGAGTCCTTGCCAAACGCATAGGCCCCTCCTTGGTGGCTTGTTTAGTGAAAGGTTTCCAGAGGTTGTTATGTATCCTGCCACTTAAGAACCCCATCAATTTAAGGATATGCATAAGTCATGCCAAGTAAAGATCAGTCCCTTCACCCGCCTCCGCCACCAGTGTGTGCCAGAATTTCTAAAACCTGTAATGATGTTTTCACAGTCCGGCCACATGCATTCTGCCCTCTTAAAAACTTGGTCAACCATTTGTGATTGTGTTTATGCTGCGATCGAAGGTGTATGAGAGCTAAAATATTCATGGACTGCTTCGTGTCTTGAAATATTCAGAAAAAGTCCAGGAAGAAAAATAAATGTCCTTTGGCAAGACACAGATGAGCTCCACATTAAAGGAAAGGAAGGATGAAATTTTACAATAGTGCATTGTGCCCAAAGCCTCAGGATGGCAGTCATTTGAGAGGCAAATACAGAGACCTTAAGGAAAATGTCAAATTAGGTATTGAGTAAAAACAAATACTGAAAGTTATTTTCATAATCATATTTTTCTTCCAAAATGCCTGCTTCCCTCTCCTCATTTTGTAGGTGACACTTCAGTCAATTTAAACAATCAGGGGCTGGGGATTTAGCTCAGCGGCAAAAAGCACCTGCCTGGCAAGCGCAAGGTCATGAGTTCGGTTCCCGGTACCGGAGAAAAACCAAAAACAAAAAAAACAAAACAAAACAAAAAAAAAAAATTAAACAATCAAAGAATTTGCTTGCTTGGATGGCATTAGAAGAATTAATAACATATAGACTGTAAAAGATAAATACTCAAGATCTGGGAAAAACACATGACCACAAAAGGATATTATTTAAAGAAAGATTTATTTTATTTTATCTTTTTAAATTTAATTTAATTTAATTTTATTTTATTTTATATTTTTTAGTCTCGGGGATTGAATCCAGGGCCTGATGTATACCAATGCATCCCCACTGAGAACACCACTGAGCTACACCCCCAGTTCTAAAAGAGGAATTTGAGAAAAATGAATCAACCTTGCAACCTATTCATATTTCCATATATCAATTGGGCATAAAAATGAAATTTGAATATTCTATCTTCCATCAATGAGCACATTAAAAACTCATTAACGTGTAATAATTGCATATATTTATGGTGTATAGTATATGTTAACGATATGATATTTTAATACAAGTATACAGTGTGGACTGATTGAGAGTAAGTGGCATTTTTCTCTCCTTATCTTCGCTTTATATTTGAAGCCTTTGAGCTCTTTCTTTCTAGGTCTTCATAAAGTACATAATAGGTTATTGTGAACACGTTACATTTTTGTGGAAGACGATTCTTATTCATAAAATTCAGAACATTTACACAAAAATAACTTCTCTTTTCTCCATTGTACCTAACTGGTATTTTATCCTTTCGCAATTGTACCTCACAAGTCTTACAAAGAAGAACTTTCCTTTATTCTTGAAGCTAATCATCGGTTGGAGGTAAGCAGTCACAATACGTATGACTTATTAAGCAATCAGGCTAGAAATCAGAGTTGACACCAGAACACAAATATGTGCACTTACCTGGATGGCTCTGACATTGGAAACTGGCTGTTTTGACATAGTCACGCAGTCTTATCCCTAAAAAAACAAGAAACTATCAGAGGTGGCAGCATTCAGATTCTCAGTCTTGATAAATTAGAATTTAACTCATGATTCAACTGGGCAGTCACCCCTTTCTCTGGGTATATATTCTTTCAGTCTCAGTTTCCAAAGTTACTTAGAGACTCTCCTTCCAAATGCCTTGGGGATAGGGAACACTAGAGCACCCCGATAAATCATTCAGGAGGAGAAATGCTGAGATGCCTCGCCCCTGATGTGAATGATAGGCGATCAGAAACTTGAAAGGCCCTATCATCTCCTTCCCTGCCCTCCTAACCCTTTGCCAAGAGCAGCAAAACAAAGAGGTGGTGGGAATAAAACACCTTTGTTCAGGCCTCAGAGCCTCTCTACTTGCAACTGAACTTTTGATCTGAAATCATTGCTGTCAGGATGGTTAGTCGGTCCATTGGAAGTGCTTGCTCTTTGTTGAACACCCAAAGAGAAGTAGCCTGTATTGTGTCCCTATTACTGTAGCGCTCTCCACTCCAGTCTCTGCTCTCAGCTCTGTGTGTCCCATCCAGACCCTCTGCAGGGTGCCTCATACAGAGCCCAAGATATAAAACACAGGCAGCAGACCGTGGCTTGCCTGTCTTTTTTCCTTCAACAAAGTGTCAGAAAGCATGTAGGACTTCTGTGAGTATGCACATCCCCAAAATGTAGCAGTGCTCTCTTCTCAAAAGATTTTTGCTGGGCCAGGGATATAGCTCAGTGGCACAAGCATCTGCCTGGCAAGCGCAAGGTCCAAGACTTTTCCTTTCTTTCAACACATGAGACTTGATTACGATAGTGTGACTGAAGATATTTGGGGACATAGGCTATGGTTAAATGGAGCTAACAAAACAGGGAATAATATCTCCTCTGTCCTGTTTTTATAGCTCTGTCTATTAAACATTGACAGGACCAAATGAAAGTTAAATATTCATTGAATTAAAAAAAACATGCTGTGTTCTAAACCCAAACTATAAAGTAGGTTGACTGAGTTCTCTGTCATGTCTGGTAAGTGTATGTGCTAACACACGAATAAATGAACACAGGGAGCAGAGTCGGCCTTTGTCACAGTCTTAGGTTACCTGGACAATGTTACTCAACATTACTAGGCCCAAATCTTCTTCCTTAGATTATTTCAACCTGTTTCACAGGTTTCAATAATATTTCAAATGACACAGTGCTGCTTGAAAGGCCCTGTGAACTGTAAACTACGATGCAGATATTTATTGTTTTATTGCCATTGCCTACAGCTAATAACTTCTGAGTCCTATGCTGATCTGCAGCCTTAATTACGGAGAAGAACTGATGTAGCAATGCCCCCTAAGACCTGTAGAGACAAAAGGCCTAAGAACTCTATGAAAAACTTAGTTTTATTTTTCTTTTTAGATCTTTAAAGCCTTAGGCTCTATGATATGAATTTAAACAATTCATGTTTTTTAAAACTTCCAAGACTCGGGATGTAGCCCAGCGATGGAGCTTGCCTAGTGTGCACAAGATGCTGCACTCAATCCCCAGCACTGAGACAGAACAAAACCAAAGCCACCTCTCTAGTTAGTGTATCCAAGTATAGCATTCGGGGACATGCATATGGGAAAACAGTGGCTTTTTTAAAAAAGGGTTTCACTTTAATGTTTTGGTAATACAAAGATATAGTCTCCACATATAAGGATCCAGGTAGGGTTATTCTAATATGATTAAAAAATTAAATAGCAACAACAAATTGAGTAATCAAGGATACATTTTTCTCTATGAAATGTACCAGACAGATTTCTCTCTCTCCTGCCATGTCAAAGAGAAAGGAGGGATTTTTAATTTTTGTATCTGGGGCACACAACCCAATTTCAAAATGAATATCTTAGTGTTATAATTTGTAATGTTGCCATTCCTCAAAAGCTAATAGAAGTCATGAAAAGCAAAAATTCTCACAGGACCTTAAATAGCTCAGCATAAACTGTTCTCTGTATGGACAACTAAGGTTTAATCAGTTGGAAACTTTAAAAAAGTTACTGAACATCAAGTTAAAGCATGGGAATTAGGAAATTTCTTTATATTCTTGCAATAGATGGTTGAATGGTCTAAAAAATAAATAATAAATGATGATGTTATTTATATTGCATTGATTTAAAAAAATAAGCTGATTTTGTTTTTTCACTGACTGATGAATTAACTTCTGGATTGTCATGGGTTTTTTTTGAAAACCCTGAACCTAACTGATGGATGGGCCTTGTCTCCTGTGTAGTTTTAGAATATTTTCATTTGCATATGAATCTCTTAATATCCATATTAATCTTTAATAGAGACATATATAGAAAGTTGGTTAGCTCCCAGGTCTCATTCCTCACAAACAGGCTAGAGAACATTTGTGTAAATCAGTCCAGCAGCAGTTTCTGCTGTCCCCATTATTTGCGGAGAAATCAGGGCAAAGCACACTGACGAATAAAAATAGACAGTGTTCCCTGGTTGTTTCCCTAGCCCTGCATTCACTTCCATCACGGATGGAGAGTATAGGATGCACTTTCCCTCTTTGTCTGCATGCTTCTTCTAGGGACCAAAAAAAGAAAGCTATGCCTTACATACACACCCGCCTCCCTCCGGGGCCACTGTGTTTTGTCCAAAGAAGTACTCTTTACAACACTTGATTACTCTGTCTCCTGGCTCTGGCTAAAATTTGAAAACATCGAAAGTTTGACAAGGCATAAATTGACTTTTACAAAACCTACAGTACAATGGAAATGCCTGCCAGCTGAGCACAATTGAGTTTTCCTGGCAGTTCTGCTAGTCCGTGGGGACTTTTAATGGCCTGTCTGCTGAGTCACTTACAATATACCCCCATTTTGTTTTGATTGGGCAGCATCTAATATCTAACTTCTAAATAAAACTCTGTGACTTACTAAAACTTTGCCCACATTAACGTCACTGATTTGATAAGAAGGAATTCAGAGGCAAATTAATCAATATTTGGAAATAAGAGCTTTGTTTGTTCTTTTTAAAGGTCAAGTAAATGGGTAAAGCTCCATCTCAAAGGGAATTATCTTCTGTCCTGCAGCTAAAAATAATTTCTGAGAAGGGTGTAGAAAGATTGTCAGCTGTCTGAACTAAATCCTTATTTACTCTTCCTTAAATATGCTAGGACAGAAGACAGTCTCTTTGCGGTCCCATGCCTCAGAATCTGTTGCCCACATAGACAGGGACAAGGAGTGCTGCCCTCTACCCAACTGGGTACAGGAAAACTGTGACCAACGCAAAGCTTTCAAAAAGATGGTTCTACCAATGTACAAGGCATTGATAAAACTTCACACTGAACCCAAACGTGGAATTCAGAGAAAGGAGAAAAGCATCCTAAACTTGTATTATACAACAGCTCTGGCAATAATTTGCATGTAGGTAAACCAAAAGACTAGCATTATAGCTTTTCTCTACCCCCAGTCTGATTACTTCTGAGCTTAGAGCCAGAATCAGTCTTTAGCCGACAGACTACAATGCTGGCCACCGCAGCTCCAAGGTCACAGTTATCATATGTGGGCTGTGAACATTTTATTAACATCGTCATCAGTGAATACTACCATTAGCTCAGTATTCTCTCATTATCTCTCTCAAAATTTATAAGACAGAAGTAGCAATATCACAAGTGGACAAGGAACTGACAAAGAAGCTACAGCCACTGGTTACAAGCCTACAAAGTTATAAGTAGTCACTTCAAGTTAAATATCAAGGAAATTTCCCTTAGAAAGCCCAGTTGCCAGAGCTGGCTCCTTCTGCTTACCTGCTTTCTGTATTTGTTTACTGCCTAAGGAAAGTCCCAGGCAGCCAGGTGCAAGAATACAAAGCTCCTTGGAGGTTGGAAGGGACGGCGGGTGTCCTCTGAGCTGTGATCTCAATTCCGATGCTTTTCATGTGGCTGAAATAGCTCAAGTGCTCTGTGGCTCTCCCGGTACTGAGAGCTGCTCCTGGCTTGGGGCTGGAGGGAAACTCAGTTTAAGGCTAAGTGTTAAAGAGAATTCCTGTCATAGCTCACAGTTGTTCTTCCTAAATATAGAGTTTGATACAAGCCATATGCCGGCTGCCTCCGAAAGGCTTGACCATGGGGAAAGCAGGGCTCAAATATCAGCTGGGAGGTGGCTACAGTATCTTACTGTCCTCCTAATCTTCCAGAAGAGGCTGGCTGCATTTCCTCACATATTCTGATGGGGAATAGGAAACTTCAGAAAGTAGGAAAAGTCTATCTTTAGCTTCACTACCTGGAGGCCACAAGATGAAAAGTGTTCAGGAAAACCTGGGGGAAGGCAGCAGGGATACTGACATCACACAGTTTGAATCCTAGTTTGGTCACTTGGGAACTGCTAGTGTTATTTCACACTCAGCTCGCAATAAACAGTCACCAAGTGATGGTCGTTGTACTCTTACGTTGAACTATACAGCACTGCCTTTTTGTAATAGGTCAAAAGTGGTCGAAGATGGACCAGCTGGTGTGGTTGCCCAACCGAAGGTCCTTGTTCATTCTGCTCTACTGCCTCTACTGGTGGCATTGACCTTGACCCCAGAGAAAAAGAGAGGGCAGGACAGGACAGAACAGAACAGAACAGAAGAAGAAATATCTACTTTAAATATGACAAAGGCCAGGAACAGATACCAGGCAAAACATTTTTTATACAGAGCACACCAAATCCTAAGGCATGCACTCACTAATTTTTAACTTTTCAACTTCTCCCATCTCCCAAATTACCTTTCCATAAAACTTCCCTTCAGTAGAAATATTCAACAAAGTGGACAGATTTACAATCCGCCACTGGATGAGAATGAGCCCCATGTCCTAATCCCTGATAGAATGGTCAAGCCATTGAACTCTGACAGGTAACCATCACCCGGCAGTCTTCTTGTTATGTGAAGGAAAGACTCTTCCAACTCTGTGAGTCCCTAAAGTCAGGTTTGTGTTCCCTGCAGCCAAGCACATTCTAAACAGAAGTAGTTGGATTGTTTTGAAGCCCATCAAGATAAAAACAACTTTTTAGGAATTTACGCCATGCTGAATGCAGACTGGTGAAACCACTGTGGAAATCAGTTTGGAGATTCCTAAGAAAACTAGGTCTAGAGGTCCCATTCAACCCAGCTATCCCCCTGCTGGGTATTTTCCCAGAAGATCTAAAAACATCATATCACAGCGATATATGTGCACCTATGTTCATAGCAGCACAATTTGTAACTGATAAATTGTGAAAGCATCCCAAATGTCCATCCACCGAGGATTGGATAAGAAAACTGTGGTACTTTTATATAATGGAATATTACTCAGCTATAAAGAAAGATAAACTCCAGGTCTTTATAGGTAAATGGTCACAACTAGAGACCATACTCATAAGTGAAATAAAGCAGACCTGCATGTGCAAGCACTGCATTGTCTCACTAGTGTAAAACCTGAAAGAGTTAATTTAAACTCGGAGGTATGATAGACATTGTGAAATGATAGGAAAACATTCAAGGGTAAAGGGCAACTGGGATGTGGGAAAAGAGAAGGGATAGAAGGAGAAATTTTGTATGTGTGTATATACAGGATAGTTAACATAGTTGTTCTACTGCCTTCTATTCCTTTGCTGAAAGAAACTGTCAAAGAGTCCTTGATTGCTCAATATTGCATGTCTCTATCTGTTTTCATGAGAAACCACTTTGAAGATATCAATATGTAATACAGCAAGCATTGTTAATTTCCTACCACTTTCTTTGTAACTCTGTATTGTCTGTACTGTTCTTTTGCTATTTTGTGAAAGGTTGTCTGTCTGTTAATGTTTTCCTCCTATTATTTTTAAAAGAAAAAAAAGGAATTTATGCCATGCTGTAAGATCATATAGCACGGAACGTGAGGTATTTATACACTGGAGAGGAAAATATCAGGAGACTACAGGTTATAGGACATTTGGCTACACAGATGTGCTCAGACAGAATGGTAGTATCACTCTGTGAACCAACAGCAATGAGCCATTTTTTACCCTTTGCCCCATAGTCAGGCCACACATTTTGCTACAGTCCTTCTGCTCCAATAACACCCTCAGGAGCCAGTGAGGGAGAACATATCAAGGAAAATCCTCCTGGCAGCAATGCCTTGTGTGTAGGACCAGCCCAATATGGGCATGGCTGCCTCTGTGGGAAGAACTGAGGTGAGCTGCACAGCCAGGATGTCATGTTCAAAAGTGACACAAACCAGCTATGCACCATGGCACATACCTGAAATCCCACCTATTCGGGACAGCAAGGCAGCAAGAGGATCACAAGTTGAAGGCAAGAATGTGCAACTTAGCAAGAATGTGCAACTTAGCAAGATCCTGTCTCAAAATTAAAAACATTTTAAAGGGGTTGGAGATATAACTCAGTGGGAGAGCATTTATATAGCACTGTGAGGGCCTAGGTTCAGTTCTCAGTTTTAAAAAGTTACATAAACACAGAAAGACCTAGTTTAAGTAGCCATAGGGGGTGTGTTGATGCATTGTTGATGTCTTTCTCAGTATTGCCTCTGCCTCCTGAGTTCTTCAGCTGTAGACAGTCCCTGGAACACTGTCAGCACTGCATCTGAATGCCTGCATCACAGCCAGGTGTGCTGGTACACACCTGTGATCCAGCACTCAGAGGCTGAGGCAAGAAGATCTCAAGTTGGGCAACTAGCCTGGGCAACTTAGTGACTTAGTAAGACCTTGTCACAAAATAAAATATAAAAACAGCAGGTTGGGGATGTAGCTCAGTATAAAGGTCCTGGGTTCAATCCCCAGTCCCCTTGCAACACCCCAACAAAACCTGCAACACATTTTTTTTTTTGCGTTAGGGCTCTCTTCATCATGGCAAGCATCAGGCTCCACCCATAAAGTGCCAAGGAGCAACTCCCCTAGGGACAAGCCTCAATCAATGGGGACAGAAGTCAGATAATAAATACCTCCACCTCCCTGTCCTCTGGCCAGGTGACTCTGAGATCTGGTCTACGGTTTCTCAGAGGTCTCCAGTAGAATTGAGACCCAGTCACCCACAGTAGGGATCTGATTATTAATATCCTTTCTTGGCTTTCTCCTATCCCTCCCTCACTCCTCCACTCCCTAGCTTGTGTTCCCTGGGATTACTTCGCACCCCAAGTAAACTACCCACAACTAAGCCCCTGTCTCACCATATAAAGCTGAGACAACTCCAGGACAAAAGGCGTCCCTGGGAAGGTTTCCCACTATGACAGGAAGTGTAAATGTACACTTCAGGAGGCAGGTGGGCCTCAGGAATAACCAGAACCAAGAACTCAGATCGCACTAGAGTGGTAAATCTACTTCTCCAACCCCAGTTTGAAAAGTTTCGGGGTTCTGGTTGGGCCATCCTGCATCAGCCTCCTCATCCTTGCCAGGATCAAGGTACACTCATGTGGTTTAGGACCTTTCCAAAGAGGGGAACAGTCAAGGTCTCTAAGAAGCATCAAGAACCCAAGTGCTTTCCTTGGGTGCTGTGCATGGAGGGGAAAACTTAAGACCTTTGGGCAGATTCCACACGAGGGCAGGGTATACAATTGTTGGCAAGAACAAAATTCAACGAAGTCCTTCCAACCTACGTCTTCATCGCCCTTCCACTAGAGTCAAAGAACATTATGATATGTAATAACCCATTACTTACATCTGCATAGAGTTTATTCAATTGCAAAATACTTTCATTTGTATCATTTATTTCCTCCTCACAATAGCCCCCAAAATTAAATGATATTATTCCCAATTTATATGTAAGTCAAGGCTCAGACTATTATTTCAGAGCTAGTTATCTCCAGTTTCTGACTCTCAAATTTAGCGCTTTCCTATTATACCACAGTGCCCTCACAGGAGCGTCCCCACGTAAGCACACATAAGCACAGTAGCAGTGAGGATGCGTTTGGTGGCAAGTAACAGAATACCTGAGCAGCAGTAGCTCAAACGATAGTCATCTTATCTTTTCACAAATCTCGGTACCTAAAAGGAGGTAGTTTAGGGCTGGTTCAGAAATTCTGTGAAGTTAAAAAGGCTCAGACTCTTTGTAGTTCTTTTACTGTGTCACTCTCAATAAATCAACTTTTCATCTTCCTGCTTCTTCTGTCCATATTCCCGAGATGGCAGCCACAGCTGCAGAAAGCAGGATCTTTCATGCGCATTCAAATAAGAAGAAACAGCAGCGTAGGTGGGAAGGGGGGCATTTCTTCTAAAGGAGGGAACTCTTTCCCAGAAACCTCTAGCCAACCTCCTGTTACATCTTGTTGACTGAAACTGGGTTTCAGGGCTGCAAAACAGGCTAAGAAATAAATATGGGGCAGAGGATGAATGGAATAGGGATGATTAAGATCAAACACTCCATATAAAATTAGAATGTTCTTAGCCATGAAGAAGAGGATAATGGCAGTAATATAGATAAGATCTGCAAACACAGAGCTTTGAAGTGGAAAATGTGCTTTCACACAGATAGTCTCATTTAATCCTTCCTACCTCATGAACAGGTTGTCTATCTCCATTTATAAATGACAGAACACACTAAAACCCGTCAAGTCACATATCTAGGAGGTGTGCCCCAAATTACAGACTTCTACTGGGTTCCTCTTTCTTGGTTCTATTGTATCTCAGGTCTGCCCACAGTTTTGGCAAAGAGTAACATAAATCCTGTAATGAAAAGTTGTGCTTGAATTAACAGATAACTCTTTGTCTTTATTGAATGCAAACATATAACCACCAAGCAAAACCTTATATGCTGACAGGAAAATTAACAAATGACAAATACTTCAGACAAGGACTATGGAATAGAAGCTACGATCTACAAAACACTTTCTTTTCCTATAATATTTACTTTTATGCTAAATTATAATTTTTGATACCACAACTGTAATCAAATCAATGCTTATTTTTAATCCAGGAGGGCATGTGTCAAAGTTCATCCTGTGGGACATACACTGGCACCTATAAAAAGACTACTGGGCAAGTGTGCACTGCCCTGCCCACCTCATCCCCACCCGGCCAATCCAGGTTCCCAGCCTTGGCACAAAAAAAAATCAAAAGTTTCCATAACTTCTCTGACAGTTCAGTCAAAATTTCAAGAGGT